AGATAAATAGATAGAATTTTTAATGTTTTAGCGGACGCCAATCTAAAATTCCTGAAAATCAGAACACAACAAACAAGCCACAAGACAAAATAAAATGGTGCCCTCCGACAATAATTTACTATGTGAACATAAAAACTTTTATTGATAAACTAAAGATTACAATTCCTGATTTTTCCTCCAAAATTAAAAATATCAACAGAAATAAAAGCAAAATATACCTTTCGGACTACAATGTCCACTCTTCAATGATGGGCATCCTCAAAAATAAAGGTATACGTTCACATTCCTTCACCCCCAAGGAACTGAAATTGGTTTCAATAATAATTCGAAGCCTTCATTTTAGTGCTGACTCTGAAGAGTTAAAAAAAGGGTTGAAACCCATTGTGCCAAACACAGTAGCAAATATGTCAACATTTAAAATCTAAGCTTCTATTAAAAATAATTATGATACTGTTTGTTTCTAATCACTTTGCTACAAGAGAAAAGTACTAGCGCTGTCTCACACATTTGAACCCTAATTTATCATGGAGTATCTTGGGAAATTTCAAGGATATGGACACACTAACCCGAACTTCAATATTGCGTTAAATGCAAAGAGAAACATGGAGATCGGAAACTCGGGGATCTCCTACAAATTCCTCAGACCCGTATTGTGTTATCTGTGACCAAACTGGACATCCTGCAAATTGGTTGGGTTGCCTAACATACAAGAAATATGTTGCTTCTAAGCAAAAAAGGAACGTGAAAGCTGTGGTAAGATCTACTGCCCAAAATGGCGTAAATAAATCCTTGATTGAGCTTCTCATATTTGTCATCTGGTAAGTTCTTTGCCAATGCGTTGAACCCACGATCATTGACTAAATGTCGCGAGAAGTCTCATATCGTTTAACAATTCCTTAAGCTAGCTTCACTTTTCTTAGACTCTGAAGAACTAACACTGGAAGAGGAGATATGTCAATCTCTGTCGCAATATTCAAAACTGTCAAAGATTGAGGCCAAAAAAAGTCGTGGAGACTTCTAAATAAAGTTAGAAACACATATGAACTATAGAATTATGACTTTATTAAGTTTTAATGTAAAGGTGAGAGTACATAAAACGATTTTTTGAGTAGCTCCTTCGTGGAGGAACAAAGGAGTATTAGGTTGACTTAGTTCGATTTTGGCCCTACGCTCCTTTGTTCTTATCCGAAGAATCCATACGAGGACTTAAGCTAGTAAAAAAGACGTTTTATGCTTTCTCACCTTAAGATCACTTGTGGATAGATGTCAACAAGTAGATCTGTACAAAACTCTCAATAATAATAATGTAGTTATTGTATTCATCTGAATAAAAAAACAGAGTAATTTAAAAATGATTTGTCAATTACCTGAAAATTATGATGACTTCATAATTGGAGAAAACCTAAATTCCAAAAAAAAAACTTATTGGAGAGACAGTTGCGAAAATTCCAATGAGAGTCGTTAAGAAGTAGTTAGACAATAACTCGATGGATGTCACAAGTTTGTGCGATTCGACGCCATCGTACCCAAATGGTTTCTCCTACTTTGAACACTTTTTGATAAGTAAAAAAACTTTCCTTTGAAAGGAAATCCAGCAGCATTTAAAGAAGTGTCACGAATAACAGGAAAAAACTTACCATATTATAAACGATTACGACACAATGACAACATGTTGACAAATCCTAAAGCTGAACAATTCCAAAGGTACGACACGGCAGTTTCAGTCGCAGAGATCCAGTTGACGGTTTATATTTGAGGATATCATCGGTTATTAACCAAATCCCTCAACACATCTGTACGTTCAATAATGATTTTAATGCCCTAACTAATGCTGATAATATTCACTTTACTAGTTCTGAAAATATAAAATGCATAATTCAGAATATTGGTCAGAAGTCCTGCGGTTTAGACGGTATATCCAATTTTTTGATTAAGAAATTCTCAGAGAATGTAATCCCGTTTCTTACTGTATTGTTCATTAACTACATCAATAATGGTTACTTTCCTAACAGTGGAAAGAAGGCGAAAATAATTCCCATACGAAAGAAACCTGATATCGAAGTTACATCTGATTTTCGTTCAATACCAATGCTCTCAAACATCGGAAAACTATTTGAACGTGTGCTGAAAGGAAAAATAGAACATCAGTTCACAGTAAATCCTATATCAGTCTTTCAATTTGGGTTCACACAATTCCACTCGACACAACATGCTCTTCTTAAATTCCAAAGTGATATAACAACGAATTTGAAAAAAACAAAACTTTACCATCGCTGTATCGTCAGAAATAGAAAACGCTTTTGACACGGTTAGTCATAGCGGGATTTTAAATAGGCTTGTGGAACTAGAAACTTACCCAAATATGGTAAATATAATGCAAAGTTGTTTAACAACGAGACATTTTGAAGTTCAAATTCTAAAGGTGTCTTCGTTCAACGGTATATTAGAAAGCGGCGTTCCTCAAGATTGTGCGTTGGCACTCTTTTATTTACACATGGCGCATCAATATTAATGCTGCAAAGTCAGTTTGAAACAACATCAAATATCTGGGAATAAACTTTGAAAAGTTGAGAAAATTTAAGAAACATGCGCGAACAACACTGCAATGGAATGAATTTGGGATTTTAAAAAAAAATAAAATCCGTTAAAAGTTCTGTTAAAATCTTAAAAATACCGAGTATAGCCGTTATATTGGGGTCTATACGACGTGGACTTACATAAGCATTGTTTGTCATAAGCCATTACCATATTCAAATTCGAAAATAAACGGTGAATAATGTAGCTAAAATCATCGAAATACCGTATATAGGGAGGTATCGTTTTATCGGAGTTATACGAAGACCTGGAACAGCATAGATAATTCTCTGTCACAGGCTGTAGCATCTATTATGAACTTCAAATAAGACATCTCAAACAATTCCGGTGAGTATTGTACCTAAAATCGTCAACATACCGAATATAGGGAGGTACTGATATATGGAGCTAATACGAAGACTTCGACCTGCATAGACAATTTTCTGTCCCATTACGAACTCTAAATACGTAATTTGAAACTACTCCGGCGAATAATGGCGCTAAAATCATCAAAATACCGACTATTGGGAGGTACCGTTATATGGGGACTATACGAAGACGTGGACCTTCATATACAATTTTCTGTCATAGGCTGTAGAATCAACTACGAAATGCCAAATTTGAAACAATTCCGGTGAATAATGTCGCTAAAATCATCAACATACCGAATATAGGGAGGTACCGTTATATGGGGGCTATACGAAGACAAATTTCTGACTTAGGCTGTAGCATCCATTTGGAGGTTAAAAAAACCAAATTTGAGACAATTCCGTTGAATAATGTCTCTGAAATCATCAAAATACCGAATATCGGGAGGTACCTACATGGCCTTCTATCTCAATTCGTTCGAAAGATAGCATGATTACAACAGAAAAACAGACAGACGCTGATCAAGAATATATATACTTTGTTGGGTCTGACATGAGTATTTCGAGGAGTTACAAACGGAATTACAAAGTTAATATAAAAATAATATAAAACTTAATGGATGAATTTTTATTTCAAACTTAATTATGTCGTTACCTAATTTCAACACAATTTGAAATTTTTCAAAAAAAAAATATTTCTATTTAAAACGATACATAAACATACAAAAACTGTGTATATCTGTAAGAATACAGGTAGATGCACCAACGCATGGGAACATTGATATGTCAACAATTTTTAAATGTTTCTTCAAAAGTAAGTAGATTTGTATATGTTTTCCTACACGACGCCCATCGGATGTTGTTGCGATATGCATTTTTTAACAATTTTTTACAAATTTGAATAATTTTTCATTCAAACACATCAATCAAAAATGGATTTGTCAGTTGTTTGACCCAGCAGCTGTGTTAATTCTAATACCTATCTATTTCAGTATTTTGGTGGTTTAAGCTACATCATTCACCGAAAATGTTTCAAATTTCATATTTGAAGTTCGTAATTGTTACTACAGACTATGACAGAAAATTCTGTGTGCAGGTCCAAGCCTTCGAATAGCCCCCATATTACGATACCTTCCTATATTCGGCATTTAAATGAATTTAGCGACATTATTCACCGAAATTGTTTCAAATTTGGTATTTGAAGTTCGTAGTGGGTACTACAGCCTATGACAAATTTCGTAACAGGTCCACGTCTTCGTATAGGCCTCATATAACGGTTTTCATTTAAGTGGTAGTTTTCGGAATTTTTTTTTTTGAAAATTTTCAAGTTCCTTCCAAATGGTGGGGGGTATTAAAAGTCCGGCACGGCCGAACTTAGCTGTTTTTTTACTAGTTATATATTTCCTTTATAGTTCATTTGTTATCCTTTACTCTATCATCGGGTTCTCATTATTACATCTTGCCTTTAAAATAAATGCATTTTTTCAGACACATGGCAATAAAATGAGTAATCATTTGTAAATGTAGCTGATAGTCACTGCATTTTTTTCACAATGCTATCTTCAATTTTGTTTATAAGTAATAAACAAAACGAATATTTAATTAATTTTGTGAACTATTTTTAGTTCTTAACATAAAATGAACTATTTGCGTTTTTATTTGAATATATTTTGCTGGTATTGTCATATTATCAATATAAATTATGGCAAAATGAATTTAGTAAACTTTGCGTTAAAAGGTAAAGGGAAGATGGTCTGGCCTTTTGCTTTTCGGAGAGTTCATATTTAAATGAAACTTGTAAAAACTATTTATTTGTCCGAAAACATACATTTTTTATTTATCGGAAAGATGTAATATTCGGCATAAAGGGTTTTTTGTCAGTCTATTGTACCACCAGATTTGTTCATGTAGTTACCTGTGTTATTTTCCGATGATTGTGTCATGGCTCTTGGAACGCTTTTATTTATAGCTAGGTTAGATGCGAACAGCTGATTTGTGTAGCTTTTTAAAGAGCTTTTGGGGAGAAATCTCTTTTTGGAGCATTTATATTTTATATGTCTGGTGGATTTAGTTAGAGTGCGTGGATCATACGATTGTTACTTTGTGTCTTTTTGGTTGGTGGCGGTATATGTTTAGCCAAAAGCATTGATCACCGAACAAGTTGTTACTAATTAATATTTTTACGTTATTACAGTGTTGTTGTTTTTATTTTAATAACATTACAAAAACAATACCACAATGTTGATGCAACAAGCAAGACGTATGTTCCTTGCCAACAGTATCTGCAATAAGAATATTTCCTTAAAGGTAAGTAAAAGAAAATCGTGCGTGATGGAATATAGATATACATTTATACATATCCAGTGCGTAATATTTTCTTGGTGAGGAAATGTGACAACGAAGACAAACATCCACAAGGGGGTAGGAAACTGAATTGAAAATTTGATTTGATTAGTCTATTGAAATCAATTACAGCATACAATGTTTTGGTGTTAAAAGGAGATACAAATGTTAAACGGCCAAATACACAATATAATAAAATTCCATAGAAAAAAAATTAACCAACTTAGATCCATTCCTATTTAACTTAGGTCTACAGGCCGTTCGATTATACTTGTATAGATTAAGAAAATATGCATAAGAAGGAATGTTGTTGCATAGTAAAGAGACCTCAGTTCTAATTTTTCATTTTCTTGTATTTTTGGAATATATTATAAACCTGTTCAGTTTGTTTTTGCAAATATCTTTTATTTTATCTATTTTTGTGATATTTGTAGAAGAATAACATCATTTATTAATGCATGATTATCTAAAAAGTTGTTTAATTTCCACGTGTGCTATATGAAAATAATCAACACATTTATTCCAATGAGAGAAAAAGCAAAAAAAAAAAAAAACTTGGGTGAATGTTAAATACAAAGTTAGATTTAAACAACAAACAAGTAAATATGCATATCAGGAGGTAGTCGACCTGTTGTAGTTACATAATAAAAAATATGCATTAGAATTTCTCGAATTAAATCTTATTATTACACCAACATTGAATGGAGTTACCTATATTATGTTTGTTTTTTTTTTTGGTAATTTTTATAGATATAATCTGGTAAGATTATACTTGATTTGTGTAAAATTTCCAGTCAATCAATATTATATTTTATAGGCTACAATTTTCACACATCTTTACTTATGATTTATTGTGGAAAGTGAAGTGCGTACGAGTGAATTGGAATAGTGAGGTCTATTGCAAGTGTGCAAAAGCAATGACTATTTATAGGGTCACCCAGTAAGTCCAGCTCGTAATCAAGTTTACTATCAAAATACATTAGCATAATTTGAATTCAAACATAAAAATATTTTTTATAGCGGAAAAAACGTAGAATACATTACTTTTATACCCTCCACCATAGTATGGAAGATGTATTTAATTTGACATTGCGTTTGTAACACCTCGAATTTTAGACCCAACAAAGTATATATTCTTCATCAGCATAAAATTCTGTGTCGATTTAGCGATGTTCGTCCGTCCGTCTGTGCAAACCAACCCAACTTCCGAACGAAATGAATTACGTTGATAAAATTATCTTGGCGAAGCGCTTGCTTGAGGTGATCGACACTTTGGTATTTTTTAGTGCTAACTTTGCTTTCCAAAATACTCCAGAACCTCATTTTGTAACCATTATTGGGTGGCGAGTGCTGAGTCTGCGGCCAAAATGTTTGCCTGCCCAAGGCCTTAAAACACCCTCCAGAATATTTTCGCGATAATATTCGGCATTTATTCTGATGCCACGGTCGATTAATACGAGCGGAGAGCGACCATTGGCTGTTGTGGCGGCCCACACCATCATCATGACCGGCGCTTTAGTTCTGGTGGCCAATCGAAGGTGCACATTTTTAGCTGACCTCTTTGACAAGTAAACCCATTCATTTTGTTTGTTTACAAACTGCTGCATCGGAGAAAACCAAATTCGGCAGTTCACTACTTTCTGCCAAGCGAAGCAACTCTTTAGCTCTTTTGAGTCTATTTTCTTTTTGTTGCGGTGTAAGTTCTTGCACTTTTTGGAATTTCAATGGCTTTACCCCGAGCTCATTTTTCAATATTTGCCCAATGGAATATTGCGATATGTTCAGCTCACGAGCCATTTTTTGGCCACTACGACGCGTGTTTCGACAAGGTTGCTTCTGTACTTTTCGAACCATTTCTGCTGATGTTGCTGTTTTCTTCCGTCCACTTCCTTGTATCACGGTAACGAGCGATGCTACGAGACACAAAATATTTATTAACATTTAAATGCTGGAGTGCTCTAACGATAGTCACTTGTGGTTTTCCAACCAAATGTAAAGAAATCACATTACCACGCTTGAATTCTATCACGAATAACTTTTTTTTCCTGAAAATTCTCACCAAAATTTTTTGTACGCTTGTAAACAAATAATTAGCTATCACTGGCATAATTTTAACAGCTGTCGGACGAGTGGCTTAGCAATGATAGCAGTCTGAAGTTGGTTGCAGTTTTTTATCTCACTCTGTACATTTTAGATATTCTTGATCAGCATAGAATTCTGTCCGTCTCTGGAAATCACTCTAGCTTTCAGACGAAATGAAGTAGGTTGATAAAGTTTTACTCAAATGTATATTATATCTGCAGAACTTTTGGTATTGAAAATGGGCCATGTTGGTCCACGTTTTGGCATAGCCTCCATATAATGATACCTCTCTATTTTCGATATTTTGGTGATTTAACCTACATTATTCACAGGAAATGTTTCAAATTTGGTATTTAAAGTTAATGGTAAAAGTAATGGATGCTACAACCTATGACAGAAAATTGTCTTTGCAGGTCCATGTTTTGTGGTAGACCCCATATAATAGTACCTCCCCATATTCGGTATTTTGATGATTTCAGCGACATTATTCACCGGAATTATTTCAAATTTTGGTATTTGAATATAGTAATGACTTATGACAAAAGCTGACTATGCAGGCCCACGTCATCGTATAGACCCTAATATAACGGCTATTTTTTTGAAATTTGCCAAATTCGTTGCAAATGCGTATTAAAAGTTCGGCCCGGATGAACTTACAGCTTTCTTACTTGTTTATTTTAATGTGGCAAATTCAAAGAATAGAATTTCGAATTGTGAGCATCAAGTTCAATATAATATTAAATGGTCTACAATTGTCAGATTAATAATTTGTTTGTGGAAATTGAGTCTTGTAATCTCCAACTGTGTGTCCTTATAAATAGTCAGGTCGCATTTATTGCCCGACCCAGATGAAACTTTGCACAAATTATTTGTTTGTCCCAAGGAAATTGGAGATAATTGGTCAACATTTAGATATAGCTCCCATATATATCTTTGTCCGATTTGCATTTTATTGTGCAACAAACGTGTAATATCAGCCCAAATAGTATGGAATTTTGCACATACGGTTAGGATGATTCACACTACCAGTGCGACGAAAGCATATGATTAGGCTGACATAAAGGAAGAACCTTTGTCTCCTTATGTAAATGGTCCAGTAAAGTCATGATCAGGCACGCTTTCGAAGTTATCAGGTCGGCGTACTGGCAGGTCTGAATAATTTTCCTTCACGTTACACTCGTATCCGCAGACCACAAACCAACCTATCGCTTTATAAAATGTCAACAAGATTTCCTTATCTGTACCTAAATGCTGCCGACTAGCGCCTTGAGGACATTGTTTCAACTTTGTGGCTAGCGCGGACGACCTCAACTTGCTGTCGAATGTGAACCTAAGAACTTTGAGGTAGTTAGTGATCGGCCCGTTGATTTAGTGGCGGATATTTTCATATTTCTTGCGTGGAAGTGGGCGACATGCTCCGCGAGATTGAATACTTAAAGATAGATGAGGTACTTGTTAATCGCGTATACGGTAGGTCTAACGTGTGGTGAGAATTATATTTTAATCTTTTCACAATAAGTTGGTGATGAAATGTTTTAGATACACTTGCCTAGTTGCGTTTTCTGCAGTCACAATAATTTTGTAAAAACCCTCAAACCCTAGCCGAATGTTACAACACATGTTATGTTTTGTGTTTTTATTGGCAGTGTTTATTTATATGATAATCCTGCCATAGTTTTGGGTCATTTTCAGTTTTGTTCCAGAGCCTGCAAGAATATACAATGACCGATTTTCCTTTTATAATAACTAAACTTGTTCAGAGGATTAATTTCGAAGCGAATAGGAAAAATGCAATAGACTCTTATTGTGACAAAAAGACTTTAAAAGACCTTAAAAGACGCACATGTTAACATTTTCTAAAAATTATCACATATGTCATGTAAAGTGAAGGAAGTTACCAATATACTCCAAACCTGGCACGTCGCAATATTTATATCGTATTTATTTAGGTCCGATACGAAATGGACAATATTGGCCCATTCCTTGAGAAATCACTCCATAGAGGGTAAACAGTTTGAATAATCATAACAGAAGTCAAAATATATTTAAATAGTCGAACATTGGCTGCGGGTATGCGTCTGTCGGCAGAACCGATTGATACTTTTTAACTCGTTTTATCCTAAATTTGTAGAATGTATTTCCTATATTGAATTTGATATATTTTCAAATTATTTTCCTTGTTATTAAAAACAATACAAACAAATATATACAAACTGTGTATATGTTTTGACAGAATAGGGACTTCAGCAGAAAAAAAAATAAAGATGCAGATTTAATCTACCTTCTGTTATTGTACCATTAATTCCACTCAGATATTTTTTGAATAAAATTCCTTCAATGGTGCCTGTTAATATTTTAATTTTTCAGTCTTAAAGATTACATTGAATTGTACAGAGTTGCTTTTATTTTTCTTTTTACAAATCAAGCCAAAAAATTACAGCTCTTTCTGCATATTCGTCGTACAAATTAAAGATAATAAATAAAATCGAAATTAGGAAAAAAATTAAGAGACCGGGATTGGAAAAATTATTTGTTTCCTGAAGTCACAACGACATGACTAAAAAACCAAAAACTCCTTCCAGCGAAAATCAGGATGCCGATGAAGTCAATAACAACCATGAAAATGTACTTATCGATAATAGCTTAAATTAAAAAATTCTCAATTCCTACACTAAAATGTAAAAAAAAAACAATACGTAGAAACCTTAACATTTTGTCTTGTTCTTTTTCGAAACTAATTCAGTAAAAAAAAAATTGGATTTTAATGAGAAATTTTAAATAAGACATTTTAAATGGAAATCATCTCAGTGCGGTGGGACTATAGAACGTGAATGTTAAATTGGTGATAAGAAAATTAAAAAAAACGATTCCCTTGAAAATAT